ACTTGTGAATAGACCCTTTACTAATGATTAACATTTACTACATGATAGTTAATATTCATAATAGAGGAGATATGGCTTCTGCAATATAATTTAATCAAATGCCATAAGAATTTTCTAGGGTTTTTTTTTTTTTTTAATTTTAACTGACCAACATCTAATTATCCCTGTGTGTGGTTTCTGTGTACAAAGGGAAGATAGTTTCTCTTTCACATTGCTGCCATGACCCCTGGGGCTGTAAGAATTATTAAAATCACAGCCACAACTTAGCTTTGCCTGGGCAATTAATAATTCTGGAACTTATCTAGTCCCACTGTATGAATTTTCCAACATTTTAATAATAAAGTTGATAAGAATAACTATGATGATGGCATTTATAAAGAGTCTACTCTATGCTCTACATAAATCACTGTTCCTTCTCACAGTAATCCTGCTAAATATTCCCAGTAAAAATGCCTATTACAGATGAGGAAACTGGGCTCAGAAAGCTAAATATCTTTCCCAAGATTACACAGTTAGAAAGTGCTTGAATGACTAAGCCCAAGTGTGTATGACCCTATAGTTAATGTTTTTTCTCCATCTGCCATGCTGTATATCTTTATGTGAGTAAGTGCTTAACTTGTAATCAAGAATTAAGTTACTCTATATTAAAGGTAGTCAAACAAAAATTTCATATGCCACAACAAATAATTTTTTATATAAAAGGAAAAATAATATTTCTTATATATATTGACATAACTTCTTAATTTTAATTTGTCCAAATAAAAGCCACTATGACAAATCACATCGTTGCTTTATTATATTTTAAAACATAATACGATGATTAAAAATTTTATTGAAAATAAAAACTCCTTTAAAATTCACGATACTAAAGATATATGGGTTGCATGTCTGTTGATACAAAATGCTTCAGTGTACTTTAAATTCTGGAATTGGAGGATGTCTATTAAATTAGGACACCAAAGAGCATCAAAGTCCTGGGCTATTTTGCTTATCTCAGCCCTTGTCTAAATCCATCACCAGAAATAACAGTGTGGCCAATATTGTTAAGGTTCTGGGGCATCTATTTTTTTTATGAAATGCTCTCTATTTTAGAGTTCCCCACAAGTGTATAAATATTAGAAGCTTTTGCTACCAGAATGCATGTTAAGTCCTTAACTTATTTTTTTTTCCCAAAGTTTTTGAAATAGAAAAGAAAACTTCCTTTTGTTTGACTCAAATTGGGTTTCCAGATGTCCAGGGTCAAAGGTTGGAAATAAAAGTATCAAGTTTTGGCCTACTCTAACCAGACAGCATGCCCAAATGTGTGAGAGCTTTCCCAGAGGGTGTCCTTTTGTAGTTTTTTTTTTTCTCTTGTCTCTCCTGGTAAGAGGTTCATATTCACTCTGCTAAATTATGCCATTCTAATTCCACCTTGTAAGTGGTCTAGATCTCTTATATTTATTTTTCAGTAATTGACTGCATTATGAACCCTTAAAATACTTGTCATAAGTGCGTAAATCTGGAGAAGTTGGTATTTCTCTTTTCCTGAGTTTGCCATGCTATGTTCTGCTTGGTAACATTTGATGTTCTCTCTCTTTGTTAACAAACTATTGATATAAGATGAGAAAGGGTGAGATAATAAAAAACAGACATTGTACTTGAGTTTTAATTTTTTTGCTTTGGCTGAATGGTTGACCTTTGACAATTACTTTATATTTTAAGAATATTTTTTTATTTTTAAATTAAATTTAATTAATTTATTTACTTTTTGCTGGTCACATGTATTCAGAAAATATTCTGGAAATTGAAATTTTACCAGAAAATATATTAAAGGATTCCTTTCAAAGGCTTGAATTCAAGTGTCAACTTGAAATACCGTATTATCAAAAATAAACCTAGAGTAGCACCCATGACTTTTGTTCTTAATTCTTCATGAAATATGCTAAACAGCTTATGATGTTATAATTAACAACTCAACAAATAAAAAATGAGCACTCATTAGAGAAGTGCCCAGCATAGAGCAAGAACAAAAAAAATTAGTCTCTTCCCTTCTGTTAAGTTGAATTATTATATGTGCCCTCTCTTTTCTATAGCTTATTCTATTGTTTTGGGCCTTTTATGTAGATTTTAAAACTATGGGACATCTCATGAAGCAGTCTGTAAAGCTCTCTGTCTAACCAATGCTTCCCAGCCCCATGGTCAGGAAACCACAAAAAACAGTGAGGGAAGAAAGGAAGAGTTGGAAGTGAGAAAAGAGAAAAATTACCAGGGTAATAAGATGCAAGTGCCGAAATTAATCCATGATCTCTTATTACCTGGGAGAACGAAACAGAGGAAACAATGTGTTACAGCTGTAAGCACAGCAGCGAACCTGACTTCTGTTCCAAAACCTCCAACTTTTCATTTCAGCTGATGCAAATACTATGTCCCTATTCAAAAAGGAGAGTTTCTTGTATGTTTCAGCTCCTATCTTTCAAAACCTGTATTTAACCAAGGATGACTGTTCTTTGCTCTCTTAAGAGTTTGTTGAACCCATAGGGCACCTTGGTGGCTCAGTCAGTTAAGTGTCTGCCTTTGGCTCAGGTCATGATCCCAGAGTCCTTGGATCGAGCCCCGCATTGGGCTCCCTGCTCAGCAGGAAGCCTGCTTCTCCCTCTCCTTTTGCCTGCCGCTCTGCCTACTTGTGCTCTCTCTCTATCAAATAAATAAATAAATAAAATCTTAAAAAAAGCAGAGTTTGTTGAACCCATAAAGCATTGTCTGAGAAAAATGAAATTGTTAAATTGCATCTCTCACAAAATACATGAGCAAATAATAAAATGTGCTCTCAGATTTTAATTATTTGTTCTACATATGACCTTAATACAGGGTTCACTTTAAAAAAGATGTTTGGATGCTTTGGATAATACATCAAACTCAAGCCAATTATATAAAAAAGAAATCTACTGGTTGTAAAACCATTCAATTCTAAATACTATGAATGCAACGTTTAAGGGTATAGCTTGAGGAGTCAGATTGATTGCACGGCCCTTTAAATCCTAACTGTCCCAATTTGGCTAGTAATATTACTTGTCTTATTACTGTTTCCTTGTGTATAAATACCTCTTAGGTTTATTATGAGGAATATAAGAGGTGGCATATATAAAGCACTATGAACAGGGTCTAACACATAGCCGTCCTTATGAATTACAATAAAAACTCCATAGAGGCCCAGATTTTTTGTCTTATTTGTTCACTGATGTATTACAAACATCTAGGAGAGTAAATATGTATAATAGAAGTTCAAAAAATATTTTGGAATAAATAAATGAATCTCCCAATTTAAAGAATAATTTTGTGTTAATCAGTTACACTTTTATGGTAAAATATAGCTATTAATTAACATTATTAAATAATATCAGTAGAGGCAGAAGAAATACAGTCCATTTAAATACACAGAAATATGCAGAGAAAATGGGATTTGGATTCACTTATTTTTGTTTTTTAAAGATTTTATTTATTTGAGAGAGAGAGAGAGAGTGAGCGAGAGAGAAAGCACAAGCCAGGGGGAGAGGCAGAGGGAGAAGCAGACTCTCTGCTGAGCAGGGAGCCCGATGCCAGGCTCAATCCCAGGACTCTGGGATCATGACCTGAGCCAAAGGCAGACGCTTAACAACCAAGCCACCCAGGCGTCCCTCACTTATCTTTAAAGGGGACTCATAGATCTAGTTCAAAAATTAAGTATGTTTCCAAGAGTCATCTAAAGGGGAAATGTCACATAGAATAGTACAAGAAGAATTGTTGGGAAAATGTATAACAAACAAGTCAGATGAAAATTAAAGTGATAAAGTAATATTTATTAGACAAGATAAAATTTGAAGGGAAAACTATTAGTGGCAAAAAGTATTCCATACTGATAAAGAAAAATATTCATAAGAAAGTGTAAATAATTATGAACTTTTAAGTATCTAATAACTTAGGTTTAAATGTATAAAGCAAAATCTACAGATTAAGATGAGACTGTATCAAATACAGCCTTCATGGCAAATTTTAACATACTCTTTGCAGAAATTGAGAATCATGAGAAACAAATTAGAAGTTTAACAGGATTTGGACAACATAGGTGAGTTTGATATAATATATCTCTTATGACTATTCCACAAATAGATAACACACATTCTTGTCAAATACACATGAAGTATTTCAGAAAACTGAACACCTTTTAGGCCATATAAGGAATATCAATAATATCTTAAAAATAACTATATGTAGGCTACACTGATTGACTACAATGCAATAAAATAAGAAATCAAAAGTGCAATTATAGATAGATATTCCCTTCCCTTATGCTTAAAAACCTAAGACTCTTAAACTACTTGAAAATAGATGTATTCACTTCTAGAAGCCAGAAAAGAAAAAGGAAAACAAAAAAAGGCAAAATAGAAGAAAATCTAAGAAAATATAAGTGGAAAAAGGGAAAAAAGCAGAAGTTAATAAAAAGCACAACAACAAATCTTCAAAAAAGAAAAATAAGCTCCTTGAAAAGAATAATGCAATATTAAAGTACAGGCAAGATCAATCAAGAAAATAACATCAAAGGCATATGTAAATAATATTAGGAACAAAAATGGGGCAATAACTACAAATAGAGTAGAGATTTTTAAAAAGCTGCAAGAGATTATGGTAAATAACTATAAATTGGAAACTTAGATGGAGTGGACCATTTCATAAGTGTTACGTTTCTAAAATTGAATCAAGAAGAAATAGAAACCAGAGTATATTAATAACTATCAAACAACCTATTAGGGATCATAATCGAAGTTTTAAGAACGTGTTTTGCCAGATTTTCAGAAAAGAGATAATCTCTCTCTAATTAAATTTTGTCTGATAGAAAATATAAATAAAAGTGAACAAAATACAGGGAGGTCATTGGTTCAGTGCTCTAAAGATAATTTTCTTTGTTCCTTTTTTGCTCTGATGTTCAATGCTTCAAAGTTGTAGGAAAAAAATAGCAACTAGAATATGTTAATAAAGTGACTCACCACAAGCACTATGAATTCCGGAAGTAAGTCCCCATTATAAACTCCTGCTATGTGATCCAGATCTAAAGACCCAATCCTTCCATTCCATAATCTCCATCTTTCAGAATGAAGAAACTTGCCCTTTCCACAGGATTCTCTCTAAAAAAAGAAGGGTGCCTCACTCTGTAGAATCAGAAACCTGATACCAAAGGTTATTTCTCAAGCATGAATTCCTAATCTTAACCATAAGCTCCCTTCCCATATTTGATAGAGAAAATAGATGCCACCATCACTAATTAGTTGTGACCACCCACCCTTCAACTTCCAATAGCATACATGAAAATATCCAAAAACATTCTCTATCCCTACTTCCTCAAAGTCTGACGCATGTCCAGGTTAATTGCATTATAATGCCCATTATGTTTTTTCAACATCTCTAATATCTTTCCTTCTTGTGAGCCTTTTCCTCACCCTCCACCATAGATTAAAAATAAAACAAACATCAAAACACTTGTATTAGTTTTCTATTGTTACATAACAAATTACTACAAATTCAGCAGCTTAAAATGAACACAAAAGATTAAAATCAAGCTGTTGGCCAGGACTGCTATCTCATCTGAGGCTCAGAGTTCTCTTCCAAGCATATTCAGGTTGTTGGCAACATCTAGTTCTTTAGGGTTGTAGGACTCAGGTTCATGTTTTCTTGCTGGCTGATGACTAAGGGCTGTTCCCAGGGTCTGCCTCCAGTTCCTTGCCATGTGATCTCCCATAAATAGCATGCAGAATGGGTGTTGGGTTTCTTCCAGGCTATTTGGAGAATACCTCTCTGAGTTCCCCCTCTGAGATCAGCTACAGAAATTCTGCTTTCAAAAGGCTTACCTGATCAGGTCAGACTCATCCAAAATAATCTCCCTTTTGCTGTATAAGATATCTTAAACAAAAGAGTGACATATTGTATTAACAGATTCTCTTCATATTTAAATAAGAGAGAATTACACAGAGGGTGAGGCTCACTGGGAGCCGTCTTGGAGTTTTACCTTCCACAACACCCAAATCAAATCCAAATAAACCAAAAAAGTCTTTCTATCTCCCGCTCTCATTTCCCTTTACAATGAAATGTGAGCTAATACTTAGATTTACTGCTTTCTCTACTTTCTCACCTCTCATTCCAAAATAGATTGATTGATTGATTGATTTTAAAGATTTTATTTATTTACTTGATAGAGTGAGGGCTAGCACAAGAGAGAGCATGAAGTGGGGACGGGAAGAGACAGAAGGAGAAGCAGACTCCCTGCTGAGCAGGGAGGGAGCCGGATGCAGGGCTCCTTCCCAGGACCCCGGGTTCATGACCTGAGCTGAAGGCAGACCCTTAACCAACTGAGCCACCCAGGTGCCCCAAAATAGATTTTCTTTTAAAACGATGCCAAACCCATATATTACTGTTGTCCACTAGCCATCTTCATTTAGAACATCTCCCAAATGGCATGTCCCAATATGAACTTATTATATCTTCTCTTTCACTTCTTTTATTGTCCTAGTATAATTAGTCGCCCAGTCAACTATCTGTTCTTCCAAAATAGAATCCTGAAATCTTAGTTTAGTATATATTCCTTATTTCCTACATTTCAGTCTTATGCCCTGTCAATCTTACGTGAAAATGTTGAATCTTGTCTCTTCCCAAACCATGTAGCCATTATTTTAGTACAGTTCTATTAAAGTTTCCATTTAGAAACTTTTCTTTTTAGCATGTGCGAAGCCTACTCTCTGCTTCTCCCAACATTTGCAGTTCTTTCCAACCTCCAAACTGCTGTTCCTCACCATCTCCCTTAAGATGGAAATGTCCAAGGAATGGTTTGAGGCCCTTTAAACGTCAAAATCCAAAGACTAACACTATCAACTTGTGTAACTGATAAAAGATAAGCAGTCATAACATACCATTCCTTGAAACCTGATTGGATTAATCTTTAAAATCACACTAGTATATATATATACCAAATCTTCTGATGAGCTTATTTATATAAGTTCTTTACCTTTCAAAATATCAACAAGAACGGATTAAATAGAGTAAACATGCTTTTTTTTTTTTTTTAAAGATTTTATTTATTTATCTGACCGAGAGAGACACAGCAAGAGAGGGAACAGTGGTAGAGGGAGAAGCAGGCTTCCCGCTAAGCAGAGAGCCTGATGCGGGGCTTGATCCCAGGACCCTGGAATCATGACCTGAGCAGAAGGCAGACCTTAACGACTGAGCCACCCAAGCGCCCCAGAGTAAACATGCTTGTTAATACAACTTCTAAACCCCATTCTACTCCCAGTTCACCTCCCCACCCAGATAAGTAATTTGAGAAAAAAAAAATTGATTTCAATTGTTCTTTGGTATTTCAAGTAAACCTTTATCATGGTAATATCCACCCCCCTCCCCCGATGTTTTTCCCAAAACTCTATCCTCCCACCCCTAAGCCATATTTTGTTTCAAAATATTCTTTTACATGATCTTGTCCAATTTAGCAACGCTGCCCCTCCAGTGTTACTGCTCCATAGCCTTCCTCACGCCCAACCTCAATCCCTTTCCTTGATCTTGTAGCAATCATTATCATCCTGCTCACTATAATTAGATTGTTCTGTGAGAAGCAGTGATTAATCCTCAGGGAACCAGGTGTCTTCCTAAGTAGGATGGTGGCTCACTTGGGCAAATTTCCTCGAACTAAGAAGTAACATTAAAGGCTATCAGATATTTTGAATCTCAGTTCTGCCAGATGTCTCCCAGACTCCAACACAGTGCTTTTCAAGACTTAACCCTCATTAACTTTCAGACTTCTGGATATGGATATCTGTATCTTAAAATCATATATTGGCTTGAGTTTGGGAATTTTAAAGTTATTAAAAAGTTAACCCAACCTTGTTTGTGTACAAGTGTAGCCCTCTCTTGGGCATGTCATTTACACAGTAGAAATAGTTTTTTGATAAGACAACTCTGGTATGACAAACTACTAAACATTGCTGGATAATGTTTTAAAAACACTTAGGCCACCAGCCGTCTTAAAATGGGTTTGTGTTTCATATCTTTGCTTTCAAAGTCCTGTAGTGACTTTACATATATTTTTTTGCTAATTTATTTATTTATTTATTTATTTATTTATTTATTTATTTATTTGAGAGAGAGAATGAGACAGAGAGCATGAGAGAGGGGAGGGTCAGAGGGAGAAGCAGGCTCCCCACTGAGCAGGGAGCCCGATGCGGGACTCGATCCCGGGACTCCAGGATCATGACCTGAGCCGGAGGCAGACGCTTAACCATCTGAGCCACCCAGGCGCCCCTATTTTTTTGCTAATTTAGATATCATTGAGCTGGAGACTCCATAGTGAAAACCTTTAATAATCTTGAAGAAAAATACAGTTTGGTACACTAGAAAAGCCTTTTTCTCTTACTTTCTCTGCACATTAAATCTAAAAAATTAATCTCAACCATTTGCTAAAATCTCTAAATAGAAGATTTTTTTGGCGTTTGCTTCTGGAATAAAAATGCAAAATGATCTGAAATACTTTAAAAGTATTCGACGTTTCAAACTGTTTCTAACACGACACAATTTAAACTTCAAAGAAATGGTGATTTATTCAATAAAACAAGTTGTATGGTTCTGAATGATGGCTCGAAGGACCTTTGCGGGCCCATGTTTTCCCTTAAATCATGGATGGTCTTATCTCAATTTGAGAGCTTGAATAATTTTTTTTTCTTTTTGTAACCTTAGTCGCTTCAGTTTTTATATTGTATTTCTTTTTTTTTTTAAGATTTTATTCATTTATTTGAGAGAGAGAATAGACAGAGAGAGAGAGATCATGAGAGGGGGGAGGGTCAGAGAGAGAAGCAGACTCCCTGCTGAGCAGGGAGTCCGATGTGGGACTCTATCCCGGGACTCCAGGATCATGACCTGAGCCGAAGGCAGTCGCTTAACCAACTGAGCCACCCAGGTGCCCTATATTGTATTTCTTAAGAGGTGACTAAAAGATTGTCTTTAAGAATTGTCAATATATCGACATTGATATGTGATATGTAGGATTGTCTATTGAAATGGAGATAATGATCATAGTTTTTCTGACAATCAGCACAGGTTTGAAAGAAATATCTGAAACAATTTTCTAAATGGAAATTTTAATCGGAAAGAAAAAAGTCTGTGAGAACACATACTTTTTCAAATATTCAAAAAATATTGTTTTACTATATATTGTAATGTGGCTTGAATGATTTTCTTAGATTACTAGATTTAAATGATGATAATTTTCTTCAAAAGCATCATTAAAATGATTTACCAAGCCTTTGCTTATGAAAGACACTTACTGAAACTAGACAAAATGAGTTAGAAAGATAATTCCTGAACACTAAAAATTAAATTAATGATCCACATTGGGGCGCCTGGGTGGTTCAGTCAGTTAAGTGTCTGACTCTTGATTTCAGCTCAGGTCATGATCTCAGGGTTGTGAGATCAAGCCCTGCATTGGGCTGGGCACTGAGCTTAGAGCCTGCTTAGGATTCTCTCTCTCCTTCTCCTCTCTGCCCCTCCTCACTCAAGACCTCTCACTCTCTCTAAAAAAAAAAAAAAAAAGAATTAATGATTCACAAAAAGTTTTCAGGCTGATATAAATAATCATTAAAATATATTGAGCACATACTATATGACAGGCACTGTTCTTTGTATTTACTTATTTATTACTGTATACTATTATATATAAAAATCTCATTTTTCAGATGAGGAAATGAGGCACAGAGATGTGTGCTTTGTCTAAATCTATTGTCTAAAGTCATATAATTAGTAAATGAAACAGTTAGGATTCAGACTCAGAGTCCATGATCTTAACCATTAGGGTATACAAACTTCATAGAAGCAACTGACTTGATTGAACAATATTTTTAAGTTACTAGCTTTAAAGAGAACACCTAATATGGGTATATATGGGGAAATAGAAACTGGCAGCAGAAAGCCAGAAAAGAGAAAGGGTAACTGTGTTTTTTCTTGTTGAGGATTCACAAGAGTCTGGGAAAAAGTTATATTAGTATTTTAAAACCAAAAACTTCTAAAACCATATGAAAACATGCATTTATTTTAATGTGACAGTGAAGTTTTGCCACCTATTTAAATATAACTTTATATTTCATTTATACCAAATTTATTATAGATGTATAATAAATT